CAGGTCTTAATTTTTTTGAAATCACAGTGAGGTTGCTGATAAAAGCCTTGCATTATCTACAAGAAGTTAACATTTTTACTTTTATCTTAGAAAAAGGTTTTCCATTTTGATTGCGATTTTTTCTAGGACATAAAAGTAGATGGGAATAAAGGTATAGTCAAAATATATGAACTTTAGTTTGACTCCCTCCAAAGTATTAAATACAAGTTGTAATTACGTGTTCTATAATAAATCTAAAGTACCCGGTTGACCGAGCTTTGCTCGGTATTTTTTTTTAATTCGTGTGTTTTGGAAATTATATTTAGATACAAATTACATACTGATGAAATACGAATAATATTTTTTGATCTTAGCGACATAATAGAAAAAACTGAACTGGTTATTTGAATAAAAAATCATGAGTGCAATTAGTTTAATTTAAATTTTCGTGTTTTTAAAAATACTAAAAAAGGGCTCGAAAAAATAGATTTTCTCAAAAAAGAAAGGAACTTGAAAAAAAATTTAAAAAAGTCGGTCGGTCGGTCTGGGCTCGAACCATGGTATTACGATTTTGTGACCGCCCAATATACCAATTAAGCTATTTGTAATCATTAATAAGCTGTCAAAATTTACCTTCTTATTCTAACGATATTGTAGTAGTTTTTCATTGCCTAAAAACACGATCAAAAAGACATTTTTGAAAAATAAATCCTAGCTAGATCGATTTATTGCCCCCGAAACTCCCTGCACACAAAATTTTATGAAAATCGTTGGAGACGTTTCCGAGATTCCGATTATATATATATATACACAAGAATTGCTCGTTTAAAGATATAGGATATCGTGAGTCCTGCATTATCTCTGTATACAAAAAAATCGATTGCTGTCCGTTAGTATCACTAAAACTAAAAAATGGCTCGAAGGATTTTGATGAAACTTTTGGTCATTCCTATTATCTATCTATATTATCCACCCTAGGGTGGATACTCGGAACCGCGTGTTCGTTTATCCACCCCAGACGGGGTGAATAATCGGAATTCGTATATTATTTTTCTTCCGATTTTCCCCCTCGGCTGTGTACAGTCGTTCATAAAACATAAAACTGGCCCAAGATTACTTAGAAGACACAAGCATACTTCGTCATTTTGGAGGTAGGTATCTTATAGGTCAGTAAAAATAGACGTTATATTGGTCAACTTTGCACTAAATTTTCGATCCAATTTTTATTTTTTATAAGATTTAGGATCACTTATGGGCATAAAATCACAAAATTCTGACAGATCCAGGTGGCGCCATCTTGAAAAAACGTTTTCAGCCTATATCTCGGAAACTATGCACTTTAAGGCAAAAGTTATTTATTGTAGAGAATAAAATTTCGCATCTTTTGTTTAACTAAACTTTTTTGTAAAAATTGCAGTTTACGATTTATGGCCCATTTAATAAACCGGTTTTTCTATCGCGGCCAATAATGTAATTTTTGTTAAAAGTTAAAATTTAAATTAAAAGGGGAAGTATTCTATCGGCGCGTTTTGATTTAATGTTATTAAACGTTTGGCCAGTCATTTTGCTTATAGAAGCAAGTCCAACTGCACGAGCATTATGACAATTAATTTTATCATCGTCGACGACTCCGCTGGTAATGGACATAATTTTTGGAATCATAGGGAACGGATCATTTAATAAGAGCCACTCCACAAGTTTATTATTTATAATATCTTCTTATAATTATATATATATATATATATATATATATATATATATATATATATATCCATATATATATATATGTATATATATATATATATATATATATATATAGTAGCATTTTAGTGCATATTATGTAAAATATGAATTTTCTAATTATTAAAACCGCGATATCTCACGAATTGGTGAGTCGTAAGAGAAAAAGTAACTGGAACATCTTTGTAGAGAATTGTATGATCTAGAACTTTTGTTTAACCTATTTTCACGATAAAACTAACCGTTTTCGAAAAAATGGCAACCTTAATTTTGTGCGTTTGACCTTGAATGATTTTTTTTTGCAGAAGTAGGATCGAAGGGATTTTTGACATTTTATTTATAATGATGTATTTAACGTCTCTGCCAATTTTCAGCACTATGCGAATTTTTCCTAACTTACGATTTATTTTTGTCTATTTTGACTGAACTATTAATGTTGGACTACCGAGCGTAAAGTTGAAAATGTCAACGACGGAGCTAGGCCGACGCTCGAAGGGTGACGCGGCAGCTATGCGTAATCTTGTAATTTTCAACTTTACGCCCGGTAGTCCAACATTAAACGTCCTACAACTCAAAAAGTATGGACATTAGAAAAAAAGTTTGAAACAAAAGTTGTGGGGAATAAACGGATCTTTAAAAATTGATTAATGCATTTTATTCATTAATCTAATATTTCAAGTTATTGGCCGCGATAGAAAAACCGGTTCATTAAATGGGCCATAAATCGTAAACGGTAAGTTTTACAAAAGTTCACTGGAAACAAGATGCGAAATTTTATTCTCTACAATAATGGTCTCTATAACTTTTGCCTTCTTTCTTTAAATCTTATAAAAAATAAAAACTGGATCGGAAATTTAGTGCAAAGTTGAGCAAAAAAACGTCTATTTTTACTGATCTAAGTAATCTCCAAAATGACGTAAATTATGTCACATTGAATGGTATGTAATTAAACAATTAAAAGTATCTGAGTTTTCACCTTTAAACAAGAAGTATATTTGTATTTTTATAAGTATGCATATGTCTACTAAGTAATCTTTGGCCAGTTTTATGTTTTTATAAACGACTGTACACAGCCGAGGGGGAAAATCGGAAGAAAAATAATATACGAATTTCGATTATCCACCCCGTCTGGGGTGGATAAACGAACACGCGATTCCTAGTATCCACCTTATGGTGGATAAACGGAATGACCAAAAGTTTCATCAAAATCCTTCGAGCCATTTTCTAGTTTTAGTGATACTAACGGACAGCAATTGAATTTTGTATACAGAGATAATGCAGGACTCACGATATTTAGATTTATTATAGAACACGTAATTACAACTTGTATTTAATACTTTGGAGGGAGTCAAACTAAAGTTCATATATTTTGACTATACCTTTATTCCCATATACTTGTATGTCCTAGAAAAAATCGCAATCAAAACGGAAAACCTTTTTCTAAAATAAAAGTAAAAATGTTAACTTCTTGTAGATAATCATCATCATCATTATTACAGCCCTTCACAAGTCCACTCACTGCTGAACATAGGCCTCCTCCAAGGTATGCCACAAAGCACGGTCCTGAGCCACCTGCATCCATCGAATTTATGGTTGGATGGGATGGTTGTAGATAATGCAAGGCTTTTATCAGCAACTTCACTTTGATTTCAAAAAAATTAAAACCTGTTTGACACCATATTTATTGTCTTTTTAAATCTAATATATAGAAATAAATTTTTGTTCGTTTGTATTTTATGCGCTGCCATACTGTTCATCAGATCGTGGTAAAACTTTGTCAACATGTTGCTCGCACTTCCGCGAAGGTTATAGGCATAGTTAGATCCGGTAGGTGGCGCTGATGTAGAATCCAGTTATCACCCGTGCGAAGCCGGGGCAGATCGCTAGTATATTGTATTTTTATTGGTTACCCATGTAATGTTATCATAATGATTTAGGTATAGCTTATTTTATGATAAATCTTGATCATCTAGCTTAATGTTAATTAATAATTAGCTTATTACTTCCGGATGTAATTACACTACTAGAAAGTCTTTTTTTCACCCAAATTAGTTAAGAACACTGAAAACGAACATACAATAAAAGGCAAGTATGTAATTAAACGTTTTCTTTATTAGGAAACGATGCCATGGAATTCATTGCACTCATTTTTGAGACCTTTATATTACGACATTGTTGAAGAAACTTACAAAGGTCTTGGTTATTCAGCATTGCATATTATATTATTTGTAATATAATTTAGGCGATGTTTAAAATTCTATGTAATTTTAAAATTGATTTGTAATCACAATAAAGATCACAACATAAGATTCAATACATCAAAAACATTGTATATAATTATTGCAATGTAATATAAAGATATATATATTACCAATCAAAATGCTTCTCACAGTTTGTATAATAAAAACATTTGATGTTATAAGTTCATTATATTACAGCACAGCCATTACAACATTTATGATTACTTTTCAACGCAACGCAGACTACGTATGAAGAAATTTCATTGAAGTAGTTACAAATCAATACTATAGTGAAATACTTCATGTCACTATTGTTGCGAATTTGTAACTACCAAGAAATACATAGTTTAAAAACGAGTAGCGTAAAATTAAATGTTTTTTTAGACATTGTATAATTTCATGCGTCAACTTTACTACACATATAAGATGACGTGTTCTATTATAAATAGATTTTATTTCAACTACATCTTACAGAGTTAAATGTCAAGGAACTACGACAATGACGCTACAATATCAAAATCTTCAAATTTTTACCTATTATCTTTGTCTTCATTTAAGTAACAATAAATATATTTTAAAAACAAAACTTCATTCAACATAATTCTAATGAATTGAATGTAATAAAAAGTTGGTACTAATCAGGATAATTATGTATACCTGCTAAATTTGATGCAGCAATTATTATTTTAATAATGCATCTAATATTAAGTACTATGACAAATGTGAAATGTTCGAATATTCGAATAATACAATACTGTGTAAAGGCACAAACAATACAATCTAATAGTGTTTATTTAAATATTTTATATATACAGTTTCATGGTGCAGGTGTTTAATTATATCATTGCTTTATATGTTAAAGAAATACTATAAAAATAGATTTGTTTGTATTTGAAATGCCAGTAATAAAATAGTAAATGAGCAGCTATGATTTTACATTTTCATTTAACCTTAGCTAAAATATTATTACCATTTGGTATTTATCGAAATAGATATAAAGTGGAATTTAAATTCTAAAACACAATTATGTGTAGCATTAGATTAGGTCTTAAGTGCAACCTTCTTGGGGATCTTTGGTGTCTGCAAATCTACGCCATGGTTTTTGAACTTTTTAAGCTCTGCGTCATGAGCTTCGCCATTCACCATGATTCTGTTAGAGACTGGGCCGTGTGCAATCTTCTTATGGTGGCCATTCATTTTGCCATCATAACCATTGAGTTTTTCACCTTGTCCATGCCCATTAATCTTATCACCATGGCAATTAATTTTGTCACCAGTGTAACCATTCATACTCCACTTAGCTTGTCCTGATAAAACCAAAACAAAAACATAAAAAAAACAATTAACCCCATTCTCAAAATATCCATATAAACGCTGGTAAAATCGTGTAAATTATATTGTTAGTAAAAAATTAACTTCCAAAAATATATTGGTCCGTGATATTTTTGTTAGTCCGTGTTAGCTGATTCATCTGATGAAAGAAAATCAGTGCTTGCATGTTCCAAACTGGTGGCTTTCGTATCTGGAAAATTACGTATCGCCTTTAATTCTTTTACAGAGCCCTTTTAGGGCTACCGACCAATCTAGCACTAACGACCACAAATACTGTACAAAACATTCAACAGATGACGTCAACCACAACATATAGTTACATTTACTAAAAGGATCACATGACATAACTTCTATTTCTAAGAAGGAAAGTCTATGCAAAACACAATTACGCCAGTGTTCATAACATTATTATTAAATATGACATGCAAACAATACTAGGGCTCATATCTTTAATAATGATTATGCGTACATACATACATGTAAATATAAATTTCTTATTTACATGCATATGCATGCGTGGACAGATTAAAGCAAATAAATTAACACTGTTATTAAAGATGGCAACATTAACATATTAAACATCATTAAAACTGGATGCGTGTGCAACATATCAGCATCGCACGCCGGTCGTAGGAGTGTCGCATTACGGACTTGGTTTGTCGTCCGCATTACTTACGTCGCAATGCCGACGTGATACTGATTGTTGTATATGCTTTCTGATTCACGAGAATTTAGGGAATCAGTTAAATAAACAAGTGATACTACTAAAGGCGACAAAAGGGAGGTGCAAGACTACGACAAGACATGACCAGCAGACTGTTATGCGTGGGGATGTGCTGGTGTAACGCCTTATTAAAATTAAAATAAAAAAACGTCAAAGTATTAAAGAAATTTATGACTTTTTATCTCTGTAGGTAAGCAAAGTCGGGACAAACAACTTTGGTAATTATTTAGCAATAAAAACTTGTCAAATGCGAGAACTGTAATAAATTTAATCTAAAAATAGTAGTTTTTAAAATCTATTCTGAATCTTTAGTAATTTAATATATACTTAGTCGGGTCATAAGTTCTGTCAAAACTTATTATTCAAAATTTTTGAATACTGGCTAGATAAATTTCACCAATTTTAAAAATATAACGTTTGCGCGTACCGAAAATAAAAAGAAGACATTAATTTTCACACATTTTCAAATATGGAGTGGTTGTAGAAAGAAGAGTAGCGGTTGTCGCGTTGTACCGCTGTGGTTCGCGCCAAGAGCTTTTCAATATTCTACAAAAATTGAAAATAACCCTACGATTTGTTTATCGCATTATCAAATGATTAACTGAAGATTCAAGTTTCGAAGATCGTAATAGGACCGGCCGACCTCGTACAGTTAGGACATCCGCTATCATCAAAGCAGTGAAAGCGCAAATCCAACGAAATCCTGTTCGTAAACCAAAATTCTTAGCTCTTCCGATGGTCCTAAGCAAAACCACGGTCAAAAGAGTAATCAATGAAGAGAAGGTACAGGACAATGTTTATGTGATGAGCACGATCATTGTTCTGTGTTGGGTGTAATTTATCTATAATATTTATGTATTTAGAAATATATAGTATTTATCAGTTGTCTAGTACCATAAAAAGTTGTTGGCGTTGTGATAGTTGTGGAATATAATGAGACCTAGGACAACGAGCTTATCGTAATAACACCGGACATTTTTTGAACGAGCGTTTAAAAAAAATTGGGCTAGATAGATCCCGCGCTTTGTTACGGCGGTACTCGGGAAAAACACCGCGAAATTTTGTTTTGTTACTTATGACCTGACTAAGTAAATATTTTAACATTCTATTATATAATAATTGAGAAATTGAAAAATAGTGCATGCCATAAGCGTGCAAATGTGACCAACATACTACTGATTACATTTATCATTACTTCCATTTATAGTATTTACTTGTGCCAGCAACATGATTTATAGAAAAGTTATATTTGTTAGTGAAATATACTGTAAGTGGAAGCAAATACACATTAAAGCATAGATAGACAAAATACTTGCCATTGGCATCGCTGCCTGAGTAATACTTTTTCGATGTCTTCCAATCTTCTTTAAGTGATAAGTTATACATAGAATAGGCAGGGTCGCCTGTCACCTCCTTTTCTATGGTCAGGAACTTGGGTAATGATTCTAAGAGCGCATCTTGATCGTAAGCAGCACTGTATGTCTCAAGCAACACTAAGCCACGACATCTGAAAAATAGTAAATTTTTTTTTACAAATTATTAACAAGGAAATTTTTAATCAAATTTACCTATTTAACTTTAAATACTGATTAATTTCAATAATAATAAGAAAAAAATATTGGACGAACTTTATTTTGCTTATATATTCTAATGGCCAAATACTCTAACACTACTAAATTTTAAGACATCGTTAATTCTAGTGGTCGTGACTGCCTCGTTGGTCTAGTGGTTGTAGTAGTGCGACTGCTGATCATGAGGTCCTGGGTTCGAATCCCGGGTCGGGCCAAAAAAATTAATTATTGAGTTTTTCCGTCAAGAAATTCTCAGTAGTTGCCCGGAGTCAGGAAGTTGGCGGTGTCTTACCCCCGTGCCTCGGAAAGCACGTAAAGCCGTTGGTCCTGCGCCTGATCTCTCTCCGGTCGTGTCGGTTTACCGTCCCATCGGATTATGAGAGTAAGGGAATAGAGAGTGCACCTGTGCTTGCACATACACTTGGGCACTATAATCCTGTTTTTTTTTCTTAGGCTAGGATGACAAACGAGCACACAGTCCACCTGATGGTAAGTGGTTGCTGTGGCCCATAGACATCTACATCTATCCTCGATTATGAATCAAAATGCAGATGCGTTGTCATCCGTGAGGACTACGATGGAATGCCTCGTTTCCAGTAAAAAGGGTCTCCGGTTCTCTACACTCACCATACGAAACACAGTAGCATTAAGCTACTATTTGACGCTGGTATTCCGTAAGAGCGTGGTCCTTCCCCGGTCGAGCCGACCCATTCGTGCTACAACTATACTACTAATATAACTGCAGCATGGCTCTACTCTATTTCTGCGCCGATGGCTAGCCTCTGTTGAGGCTGGCCGCCGTGGCCGATATTCGGTCTGGAGGACATTATTATTATTAATTCTAGTAGTATCACAGTCACTTTGACTTAAAGTGCTCTATCACTTTATAGCACGAGACTTAACATTAGTATTTGACTTAAGATTGAGTATTTGTGCGTTAATGTATCAAATTACCTTGGATGTGTGGGTTGTCTGTAAATGTCCAATTGGTAGTACTGATTGTTGTAGATGAAGCAACGGCGTTTCTTGAATATCGTGAAGTGAGCATCGTCGCGCTGAGGAAGCTGATTTAGATAGTCTCTATGCGTCAACTGCGTACGCACTTCTACAGACTGCCCATTGGTCGGGTGGAACTTTCTCACAGTGTGAATATAAGACCAATGACCCTTCTGGCCACGCTTGCGTAGTCTAACCTGCGCCTTGCGGAAGTCGCTCTGCAAGTAATTATGAACGACATCGAAGTCCTGGAACGGCGGGAACTCCGACTCCGGTGGGAGCGGCGTTTTAACCAGGAATTTACGTTTCTTCGAGTTGACGTTGAGACGGTCCCCGGTGTCGATGCCAATTCGCTGGCAAACACACGCGATGAGGCGGTTCATTTTCTTGTCGAAATCTGTGGAGTTGTCTATGACGTCGAAGTACGGGTGACCGACCCACGCTGCTGCGGCGTTGTAGTCCAGCTCGCGAGCAAGCTCCATGCCTTCGGAACGACACGCGTGATCCTGGTAATAGAAAAAATAAAAACACACTGTATCCATTGTTTTACATCTCTCCATTTCTGCAATATGTGTAAAAGTTAGTCAGTCACAAACTCACAATGTTTAATTAAGTATCTAAAGTACTATGTAATTATAATCAATAACTATGTAATATGTATTTGAAGCAATACGTAATGACAACATAGATATGTACTGTATATATCTATGTTGTCATTCTCATACAATGTTGATAACAAAGGTAATCTAGATAAATTAAAACCAACACAGTGGGAAAATGATAACAAAACCGCTATTTATGGTTGTATGTAATTATTTATTATAGACATAAATTGCGTCGAGTATTTTATGTTAATTATGTTAAACATCTCAATCAATTATGACAGAAGAAGATTATTAGTAAATTAAACAATAATACAGTTTACAATTCTTTAATAAACTCAGACATAATCTTACATTGTTTATACCAACCACGATAAAAATAATCTACACTGGATCATGTATTTCCTAATATCTAAGACCTTGATAAAGACAGAAAGATCATCGATATCGTATAATATGTGTATACATACATATGGCAAGTAGCCAGCTATTATACATATTCTAGTGTTTGCATTGTTTGAAAGTCATGGGAGGCACTTTAATCATATTTAGACATGTGAGATATACAAATGTGATGAGAAGGTGAAATGCATATAGATAGACAAGTGTTTACATCAGTGCCCACGTTACACTCGGCGATAAACATAGAGCTACGATTGCACTTGGCGATAAACAAATTTTACATTGTATAAAAATAGAAGGCGGTAGGTATTACGGTTACGTAGTGTTACATCTACATTACGAATACGTAATTAACCCGGTCATTAATGTTTAAATTTAAAACTCTTTTTTTTTTCTGAATTTAAGTTATTTTTTATTTATTTATTTATTTCACAATTTATGTACACACAAGTTAGGGAGAGGACACATCATAATAAAAAGTTTGTACAAAGGCTCTACTTATCTCACAATGAAATTTCTTCCAGTAGGCCAGTTTCAAACACATATGATTACTAAATGATTATAAGGTGTGCACTTTGTTATTTTACTACACATCTGGGTGTAAGATAAATATATACGTCAACTCAAATACTTTATATATATATATATATATATATATATATATATATATATATATATGTATATATATATATACATACATACAAATACATGAATATATTCATATTTAAACAAACATTAATACATACATAAATACTAAATATAATATAAAGTCATAATTAAATATATAAACATATATACAGACACACATACATACATATATGTACATGCACATATTTGTAACAGTATAAGTAAGTTAGTTATGTAAGATGTATTTTGTGTGACAACGCATCTGTAGCCTTCTTTATTTGAAGTGCAGGTGACTGCAGGTGTCCATGGGCTGCAGTAGCATAGTAAAAACAGAATAGTAGGACGCTCCCGCGCCGCGCGAGACTTAAATGCCTACTGTTGCAGGGTTATCACTGTCTTTTTGTTTCACAGTTAAGTCTCATTTAGTTTTATAAGTAGTTATAATATTTACAAACGTAATACATAGGGATACGTACCTAAGCATCATATTTGTTAATCATTTATTTAGTTCGGCCCGACCTTTCCCACTTAGCAAGTGTCGTTGTGTGCGTGTTGTGGCTCGGGCTTACAAGTCCATACTGTCACGTGACAGGCACGCACACATATTAGCGGCGTTCGGTGCATTTCTTAGAAGATAGACTTCCGTTTTTACTATGGCAGTAGCCACTTATCATCATGTGGACTGTTAGTTCGTTTGTCACATCAATTTTGTAAAAAAAAAAGAAACTTCAATCGATTTGCCGACATTTCACTCACATATTATTCACACATATTTTTTAGTGATTGTTAAATGCAAATATGGAGTATAATGTTGAAGAAAACATAATTGCAGTGATTGCTATAGAAAAAGTGAGTATGGAGCATACAGTCATTTTTTGAGATGCTTCAAAAGCCTAGCTATTAAACAGGAATTTAAATGTGAATTATTAAACAGAAATTGAAAGCTGAATCAGTCCCTGTTTAAGAGAGCGGATCAATCAAAAATAATTTTATAATTTAATTTGTTTCAGTTTTTATTAATTTTACGTTTACTTAATTAATTCGTAATAAGGTAATTAGATTTTTATTTTACTCTAATATGTAATATGAGGCACCGACAGAATAGGATGCCGAGTGGAATGACTTTTTGTTGCTGCAACCCCATGTGTTTGTGTATAGTTACTTTTTTATTGGCTCTATAGTTTTAATTTCTTTGTTTATTATATTTAGTATCTATATCTCTATCTATGTAGTATTATAGTGCCTTGTGTGTGATGAATAAATCATTCAATCATTCTGTCAAGATGCATGCAGTGCAGATTCTCTGGTAGAAGACAGAATAATGCTCTTTACAGATTAAATTTTTTTATTAAATTGAAAAGCACAAAAAAAAACAGGAAACCCGACAAAGCGAGTAATTGCCTAGACTTCGATAAATATGTAGATGTAAGTTTTGTTATTACTTTCTAGAAAAAACCGGCCAAGTGCGAGTAGGAGTTGCGCATGAAGGGTTCCGTGCCATCGTATAAGATTTAATACTATGTAGGTAGAATATAGCAACACAAACTCTGTGAGCATAAAACCTCTACTTGTTTCCATTATTATGATCGAGCAAAAAAGCAAAAAAAGCACGTTTCTATACAACTGAAAACAAAATAAAGGCCACCACAAAATTTTCCGATTTTTTTGTTCAGGAATATGTGCTCAGGTTGTTTTAAACGTAATAAAAAAAACTTAATCTATGGATGTTTTTGCTTTTCTTCACTTTTTACTTTTTAAGGATGTTTACACCTAACAATAGAATTAAACAGTAGACTAAATGCACAGCTGTGTTGTTTTGAGTTGAGTAGTAAAGAAGGGTAGTTGGCCCCTTTAATTTTTAATTAATTATTATTTTTTGTTATAGCGGCAACAGAAATACACATTTTGTGAAAATTCAACTGTCTATTTATTACGGATCATGAGCCACAGCCTGCTGATAGACAGATGGACAGCAGAGGCTTAGTAATAGGGCCCTGTTGGTTAGCTTTTAGATCATCATCATTCATTATAGCCCTTCACAAGTCCATTGCTGAACATAGGCCTCCCCCAAGTAATGCCATAAAGCACGGTCCTGAGCCACCTGCCAGCCTTTAGATACGGAACCAAAAAAATATAATGCATTTGAACGTAGTGTATGGCTATATTTTAAGTTTCCTTTTGACATTACTATACTGGTGTAAAAATCATAAAAAATTGTAAATATTGTCGCCATCACCGAGCGATACTCTTCTAATGTATCTGTGAAATTGTTAGCTTATTGTTGTAAATTGTTATTTGTGAGTTTCGTGGTGACATACTATTCTTTGTGTGCGCAGATTTCCCTTGCAAAAAATGACGACAGTTCTGTATCGGGGGGAAAACGCTGCGGCTGCTCCCCTTCGGTGGCCCGTGTTACTCTATCTTTAAAGCCTATCAAACGATTTGGTCGGGACGACATTTGAAATCGTAAAAATTCACCACGCGTTAATGTTCCCGCCACAGACTAATTTAAACAATGAAACACATTTCAATTTAAGAAAATTTTAAATTGGAACATTCGAATTTTTTCTTGTAAATAATCGTTTTTTAAAATAAACTGTAACTGGTCACTACCTGATCTGTGACTACCTCATACAAAAATACTATGCTAAACTCTCTGCATGGTCTGTCATATATTACTTACTATTATGTTAACACCATAATATGTCAATGCTCTTCACAGTCATAGAAAGGGTATAAATTTACCTCGGTAGAGTAAAAATCCTCCGCTCCGTTTGCAGCTGAGACCATATGAACGATGTGGTTGTACCGATTGTCACGCAATTCAACACTGTTCCAGTTGTTGGCTGACATTAAGTCTTCCCACTTCTCCTTCGAAATAACTGCAAAGGACAACAAAAAACATTTGTTAGCTTGCAAAGTCAAGCCTTTCATTTCATAGGTTAAAAATATAGAATACTTGTAATTGCGGTGTAAAAGGACACACCTAAATTAAACAGAAACAAAAAGTAATTGGCCACAAGCCCATTGCAGAACATATTTGTCACGCTTTGCAGGCGAGTTGACAACCTCAGTTTTTAATTATTATTGAGATGATTATATGTGGTAGAGCCACGCTGCAGTTATATATATGCACGAATGGGTCGGCTCGACTGGGGAAAAGACCACGCTTTTTTTTTTCTTATAGAAGAGGGGGGCAAACGAGCATGTGGCTCACCTGATGTTAAGTGACTACCGCCGCCCATGATCAACCGCAACACCAGGGGAATTGCAGGTGCGTTGCCGGCCCTTTAGAAAGGAGTAAGCTCTTTTCTTGAAGGTCCCCAGGTCGTATCGGTCCGGAAAAATCACCGGTGGTAAATTATTCCACACAGAGGTTGTACGCGGAAGAAAACTCCTTTTGAAACGTACAGTGGTGGACCGCCAAGCATCCAGATGGTGTGGATGGTATCGGGACGTTTGCCGTGTAGTGCGTTCACGAAATTTGGCGGCTGGGATTAATCCGAACAATTCCTCAGAGCACTCCCCGTGATAGATGCGATAAAATACGCAAAGAGATGCAACATCTCTTCGCAGCGCCAGTGAATCGAGCCGATCGGAAAGCACTCGGTCGTCGACGATTCGAGCCGCTCTGCGCTGGATGCGGTCAAGTGGAAGGAGCTGGTACTGGGGAGCCCCAGCCCAGAGATGGGAACAGTATTCCATGAGCGGCCGAACCTGCGCCTTGTAAAGTTGCAGGCGGTGTGCCGGCATGAAATACTGTCCCGCTCTGCTGAGCACGCCAAGCTTTTTTAGAGGCCAATTTGGCCTTCCCTTCCAAGTGACCACGAAACTGCACGTCACTCGATACGTCGACGCCGAGGATTCCGATACTGGCTGAGGCAACAAGGGGAGTGCCTTGAAACTCTCAGAGAATACCAGCGTAAAGCAGTTTAATGCTGCTGTGTTTCGTATGGTGAGTGTAGAGATCCGGAGACCCCTTTTTACTGAAAACAAGCCATTACATCTTAGTCCTCAGGGGTGACAACGCATTTGCGTTTTTATTCTTAATCGATGATAAATGTAGTCTATGGGCCACAGCATCCACGTACCATCAGGTGGACTGTGCTGTGTGCTCGTATGTCACCCTTATTCTATAAAAAGGATGTTATCAAGAAGATGCGCTGTCCATCCTCTGTTTCAGTTGCTCTCTGTCGCCTTTTACGAAACCCAGAGGATGATATAGGGTAGTATTATCTTACACAGCCGCTTCACGGCGTTTAATTTTTATTGTTATAAAAAGTATTTATTTTATTAAATTATTATTAAAACAGATTTGTTTTATTTTTTACTCGGGTATTTCTCGTCGGATTTCATGAAAACTTGGAAAGCCATTAAATTTAACTACATAGTGAATACAAGAGTGAATTCAAATTGAAGCTCTTACACGTTAATTAAAAAAAATAAAATGAAACGTGATACAGAGCGGGTCGTACACCACACGTTCCTTGTGCAGTCAGTGTAAACGCAAACAGTTTGACGTCTTTTAAACTAGTTTATACTAGAATATCACGAAACGCAAGCAGTGTAACGCCGTTTTAAATAGAGACGGAGCTGTAAGTGCTTGCAAGCTCTATCAACTAGTGTTTCAGAAATAAAATCTATTATGTTTTATAAATTAAATGTGTTACATTTTACTTCTTAAACGCTCGAGTTTTTATTTCTTCTCAGAGTCCAAGGAAAATCATGATTATGCGTATCTACATGGAAGGATTTACTGCTTCGTTGGTCTAGTGGTCGTCAGCGCGAGTCGACCACAAAGTCCCCGGTTATAATCCCGGGTCGAGTTATACCCCGTGCCTCGGAAAGCACGTAAAGCCTGCACGTGATTTTTGTGTCGGATTTCCGTCTTACTCCCATCGGACTTTGAAAGTGAGGGAATAAAGGGTGCACCTGTGTATCTACATACTCGTGCACCTTAATCCTGTCACGAGCAGGTGGCTTGTCTCCTATGAGTCTGGCCGTAGTGACCGGAATTTGATATTAATGACATTATATTACATAGAAGCAAAATATTAAATGTGAACAGTTTAGCTCAGCCAACTTACATGCACTAGCGTCCATAGCGCCACGGTCACAAATTATAAGACAATTTCTCTGACATGTCTTCCCCAATTCGAAGAACGTGTTCTCAATCTGTATCATTGTCTTCAACAGGTTCTCCTGGAACTTTACCGCTGTAACAAGCAAACAACCTTTAATTAAAACTTTGTTTTCAAGAGTCAAATGAGTCGAATATGTCCATAATCTCGTTAAAAGTTTTGTATAATGTTAACAAATATGATTGAAGAGACGACCTTTTTAACAAATTCAGTATTTAGCTAGTGAATATAAAAACTAAGAGACAATTTAAAGCGTGTATTCGCTCCTTCAATTTTAAAATTGGATGGATCCGGAGTGGAAAATTAAAATCCGTCAGAGAAAAATACTTTACTTTCAATGGTGCTTTAGTATTTATATAATATTATTGTAGCGGACCACTTTTTTGATTTAACTCCTCAAACTGCAAGCGTCCAAATTTGACCGCTTCAATATTCCGTCAAAATTCAAGAGGTCAAATGTGACCTCACCCACCCACAGCTCTTTAACCCAAAAATACTTATGTTCAGTAGTTTAGTATAGACCACTTTTCTATGAAGAAGTTTGGCATTATAGAATCAATATGAAATTTTCTATCCTTTAGTGGAATAAAAACTCAGTTAGTCTATGGATATTTATTTATAATCTACGTTCATTTCGTACGCCATTTTCATGTGAATATTAATGTGTTGATTTTTCTAGTGTTTTATTATAAAATGGTAATGAAAGTTTTTGTGTGAATATAATTTATCTTTTTACGTAAATAATTTCGAGTAATATATAGAAATAATTGTGATTTTCACACTGCCGACATGCGCTTGGTATGTTTTTCTTTTGTTATCAAAATCCAATAAAATCTTTTTGTAATGAAGTATAGCCCGACTTTTGCTTAGACCATAGGATAGAGAATTTTGTATAGATCTTATAATACCAAAATTCTTCATAGAAAAGTAGTCTCTAAATATAAGTTTTAATGGTTTAAAGTGCTGTGGGTGGGTGCGGTCGCATGCGACCGCTCGGGATTTGACGGACGCATGCGACTGCATGGGATTTTTATGGGGATTGAAGGGTGAAATAAAATAATCAATTAATCACCCGTTACACCCACATGTAAAATTTATTGCTGAACATAGGCATTCCCTTAGATCACCCTCATTAGGGGGATATTTGCCATAGTTGCCACGCTGCTGCTCATCTTCTGATTCCTTTCCCATTGTCGCCTCTTATAACACCCACGGGATGATATGAGGTAGTGGATATTTTTACACCGCCAATCAATTAATTTAGGTGAAGTTATTTACTGATAAAATATAGTGAAATGAGCAAAATCGACATGAACCGAAATTTTTGAAGTTGCTTTAGTAATATAAATACAGGTTTGCATTTCATTCATTCTTTTATTACAGCATTTCAAAAGTGCACTGCTGGAAATAGGCCTCGCCAATACATTGCCTCATATACGGCGAATATATGCCGTAGCTTTTTATAAATTATTTTGAGTTGATATCAGGAAATTTCTGCCTATCTCCAGATGCAATTCTCTCAACGATCGGATGCGTAGCTATCAAAACACAGAAACAAAAGTTCTACGTGTTCTTATTACGTAGAGAATAAAATTTCTTTAATAGAAAATAACGCATACGTACATTATAGTACTCAAATAGTAGTGGATATCTATGTGAAAATTTCGTTCATGCCCTATCTTTCACTACAAATATCTTGGAACTATCAATGGAATTCCTTGATCTAAATTCTACTTTATATGAATGTGAATTGGGGCATTAAACCTGCGGAAATAAACAGTGAATACAATGTATTATACTATCGAAGATAAGAAGTCCCACGAAGGTTTCTTATCTTGCTTAACTTCAAAAGTCATTCGTGAGAAGAACGATCTTGCAATGATTTTTTTCATATAGGTACAGTTAAAACTTGGAACAAAACCACTATTTGTCGTTTTATACCACACAAATAGAGTAATAGTGAAAATATTAAATAAAAGTTAGAATATGGGTCCGATGTATTTTCATAAAACAAATAGTACTAAGTTTTATTTTTTAACAATTAAATGAAAACAATTTGATACAACATAATCAAAAATTAATAATGTTGTCTTTATGGATATGAAATATTTTTTAAATCGTAATGACGGGAGAGCGGGCACGATACAATCAGGAAAACTTTTATTTTATTCAAAATAAATTATACATAATAAAAAGGATTCCGACAAGAGAAACTAACTAGCTATGGGATTGAATCAACGGACTAATCCGACCGAACTGACCGTCTAACAATCGACTAGTTAATTTGCTGACCAATTTAACTTCTTTGTTATTCTTTTTTTAAAGAAAGTTAGGAACGCATCTTACTTCTTGACATCAACACGCATTGAAGCAGTGCGGTGCAAGGAAGCGTAAGTAAAGGTTTTTCTGTTGCAACTCGTAACTAGACAGGAACGAGTAGTGATTCGCCAAATACTCGGCATAAAAAAACGCGGTAGCGGCCGGCGCGGTAGCAGAAAAAAGAGCTAGAATGGTAGATAGAGACCATACTGCTTTTAAAGCTCAATATATTTTGGGAATGTTTTGAAGAAGTTACTTGAACCCAATTATTCCAAGAAATCCGCTGCAGCAGAGTTAGATCATTACTTTAGCGTACCAACGGCCGCAAGAGATGCAAATCCATATAAATGGTGAGTTTCTAATAAAGGCCATTACCCCATCTTGGGAAACGTTGCGGCTCAACCACATATAATGTAAAAGGTACTAGACGGGGTTTACATTTTTAAATATTAGTAATAATAATTTCTATTATAGATTCTCATGTACCTTCTCAATATTTCTGTTGGTTCTATGTTCCTGATGTGATCCTGTGTTAATGGGTCTAATATAACAATAATGATAAAAACTGGCTTTTTCTCTTTATTTTTCTCTGGAATATAAAATTAAAGTCGAGTACTCGGTACTCGGCCGTTAATACACGGTGCTCGGCCGAACCCTAGAAAAAAGGCCGAATCCGCCAAGTACCGAATCCAAACCGAGTACTCGTCCCATTCTACTCGTAACCCTGTATACATACCTAGTACTGAAATTACACTACATATTTGATATCGATAGTTTGCCCAAATGTAAACCTCGACTCCACACCGTGAACCCTGGTTTCATCGACGAACAAGGCTTTAAAAAATAACTTTAACTTTCATTGACTAGTGTTAAAAATGTGAAGCATCACCAGTATCACTGAGGTTATCTCAGCTTTGTGCTTTACCCACTTACTTATGGTGAGTAAAGCAACTTTTATAACTGACAGATTTAACTTATGTTCAGCTCGACTTGAAAATCGGACAGTTATGAAACCATAATTTAAGATTTAATTAACATGACTATAAAGGACAAAAACGATTAGATAAAGGAATAAAACAAAATAGACACAAAGCATGTAACATTAGAATGATGGATTGAAGAAGATAAAGACCCGTATGTTTTTTATTTAGACAACCTTATGTGACAGTTGTACCCAATAAGTGGCAAAATTGGAAGCATTTCTTAACGCTCACTGGATATTTCCAGATTGAACAAACATTAAGAAGATAACAATTCGTGGTTTGTATAAACAATTTTTATGTATACAGTATTCTTTGAACCAGAATTTTATTGTTATTGTAAACGTTGAAGGTTCATAGAAATTATCTTTTTAAATAATTATAATCTTCTGTCCATGTGTATGTGACTGAACTCCTAAACGGCAGGACCGATTTTGATGAAATTTTGTGTGCGTGATTAAGTTGATTTGAGAATGGTTTAGATTCAAAATTCGACCCGGTAGGCGGCGCTATTGTCGAGATCCAGAAATCACCCGTGCGAAGCAGTAACGGATCGCTAACATAAATTATAAAACAACTTGATCAAAGTTTAAATGTCAGTACAATCCAGTCACGAATTTCTATACTGACAAGTTATTTACGTAATTGTACCTCCATCAACCATCAAGTTATTCTTTTCGCAAGTTATCAGCTATGTTTGTTTGACAAACATTTACCGATTCGTGTAGGAATTACCTGGAACCTTCATATTTATTAACGGCAATACAATGCCAAGCGTTTGGCGGCGGCGCTGTTCGCCGCGGATTCGTTTCCTACATGGACAGTTTGTATGACCTACAGATAAATAATTGTCACGGCTGTGGGTATTTGTTCAATTCGTTTGTAAAATGCCTCCAAGATATGTGAAAAATACCAAGTGTGGATATAGAATTTTCTTATAAAATAAAAAGATCACGCAGGTTTCTTCATTCAAAATTCTAATTTTAGAGAAATTATTACTTGTATCATTCGCAAAACATTCTCGATTACGTCGTAACATAGTTCAGACCGAATCCTTCTCACCTTCTTTTTGTGGAAGACCTTGTTGGCCATCGCAAAATATAACATTTATTTAATTACGTTATTCATTTCTTAATAAAATATAGAAGCATAAATTAAATCCATTTTTGTGTTACTTTACATAAATATTTAAAAATGACGAGTGTTGCTAGACAGCTGGCTCATGCAGTTTTGAACTCTATTTTATAAAATGGCTTTAAAATAAATGGGCGGGGGGAGGGACTAATGATGTTGGTAGTGACTGAGTTCCTGACTTGTCTAATGTCAGTTATCCGTTCCTGGACACGAATTCAGCGTAGATGAGTTATCAACAGCCGTCCGCGCAAAGGTGTGCGGTACTCAGTAACCAGACCTCGTGTCATTCGGTGTTCCAGGGGCGGTGAGAAATGAAAACATGATTTTATAGGAAAAGGGTGACAAGCGAGCACACAGTCCACCTGATGGTAGGTGGTTGATGTGGCCCATAGACATCTACATCTATCCTCGTTTGCGAATCAAAATGCAGATGCGTTGTCAGCCTTGAGGACTAAGATGGAATGCCTCTTTTGCAGTAAAAAAGGTCTCCGGTTCTCTACACTCACCATACGAAACACAGCAGCATTAAGCTGCTATTTGACGCTGGTATTCTGTGAGAGCGTGGTCCTTCCCCGGTCGAGCCGACCCATTCGTGCTACAACTATGCAATTAATATAGCTGCAGCATGGCTCTACCACGTAA